TCGGAACAAGACACCATCGGTCCCGGGAGCAGACGATTTCTCGAAAAACGCGGTTTACGAATCTGTTGAACCAGGCAGCTATTGAAAACGTGAATTGCTCTACGTGTTGCTACAGAAAGAGCCTCATTTCTCGTCCTACACAATCATGCAGTCGAGGTACATACTTTGAAGACTCTCGTACCCTAAAGAGCTACTCCGAAGAACCAGTTAAGAATGTCGTGCGCTATACATGGTGTCCCGTACAATTCAACCATGCTCTGCCTACAGAACGCCGAGAAAACAACGTCACGTTGCACAGAGAATCATCTTAGAAAATTAGAACGCTAATTGCAAAAACTGTTGAACGATTCCCAAATCAAACTACAGCTGGTCCCTGTGCCATGATTCATGGCAATATCAAATTACGATAGGAATACCATTTTATATTTAAGTTCTTCTTTCTTTTTCCCTTTTTTAGTTTTAAGTTTTTGTATTTCATCCGTCCATGCGTGACTGCTACCATATTATTACTCTCTCTTTCTCAGTGTAACCAAAGGGTTTCATCCTGTTGATAAATAATGTTCTTATCATTTATTGTTACCTCGTCGATGTTAAATTCATCGCAAATTATTTCAAGCTGATTTTGAATTTGTCGAGGCACTTTTTTAAATTTTACAATTTTTTTTCCAATTCTTCTAAATTGCTCTGTGAAAATATAAATTGCTAATTTACAATCCAAAGATTGCCGTTTTAAAGCGTCATCTTTTAAATAAATGTTTACATTTTCATGTTCGTTGATATTTAATCAATTATGAAAAAATGCACAGAACGAAAATACTGCAGGTGGCAAACGGTAATTCTAATTGCCAGTAAAGTTTTAAACTGAAAGAAAGAAAAAGAACGAGACAGAGAAATGTCGGAATTGGTGTCTTCTTCGTGTCGAATTGTCGGTTGAGCGAAATAGGTGAAAGGTGACTTCCTGCTGGTCTCAAAGGACGAGCACATGACGCATGCTTGATAGAAAAGGAATTCGATCCACGCAAAGTCCTTACTTCTTCCTCGGCGACGCGATGGCGAGGTCGCTTTTAAGGCCATCCATTTCCTCGGCTGTCGTATTCTCAGTATTGTTCGCGGTTCTATGTTGTATCTCGCGACACGAGTTCCCGTTTCGAGTCTTCTGATCTCGAGAAATCATTCGTGTCTTGGCTAACAACCTCTTTAAGTAGTTTGCGTTCTTTTCTCATTGCGCCGCGCCGCGCCGCGATGATGCTGACATTATTCGGATTCAAATTCGCGTTCTCAGCCTTCTCGTTGCTCGGCCATTGTTGTTTGCTACGTTCCTTATATGCACCTGGAGAAATATTGAGATATTAAAATATCTATATTTATACGGATCTTTTTTTTATTTCATTCATTTTATTTTATTTTCTTCAATACACATTAGTACGAAATTCTGTGAAAATAACATTTCGTTATTTTCAAAAATCAAATTATTGTTGGAATAATGAAACTTTCATTGCCTTTTTCCTTAATCTTCATTACTTAGAAATATCTCAGTATTGAGTTAGAGCAGCGATGTGTTGGGAACGTAAGAAATGTTAAGTATTCGAATTATAGTCGGCAAAGAAAAAAGGAGACGGGGAATTGCCAGTGGAAAAAAAAGACAAGATTTCCTGTACAGCTTCTCGAAGAAACATTCCCGTCGGGAACTGGTACGTGAGAATATTCAATTGACCATAATTTCTCGATATCTCTGCAGGAAGCAAGCACCATTTGCAACGATTGCTTCGAACCCAGCAATTTTCTTGCCTTTCGTAGAGTGCATTCTGAAATTAAAAGATCAATTTCCCTTTTACGCGACTGGATTTACTTTCCCTTTTAATACGAGCACTACCAAGAAAAGAAACGCGAACAGGTGATACATACACGCTATACAGGGTGTTTCGTTTAACGATCATAGTACGAATAAGGAAAAATCGTGTTGGCCTTGAAATATCCTTCACCATTATATAAATGAAAAAAATGACAATACTACGTAAGACATCTTTTTATATTGAACTTTATGCTTTCGCAGAAACATTTTTTCGTAGCCTCAACGCATTCAGAGATATTTCACTGTAATCAGTCGGAACACCCTATATACTCGAGCTACCATGTGACGAAACTTTATCGACATAGTAAACTATTCATTACTTGATTTTTCCCCCGTCATTCATTTCGCGAACTACAAATAGAAACCTCTAATGTAAACACTCTATGCGCGATCGATAATCTATAAAAAAAGAAAAAGGTAGAATCGTCGTGAATATCGACGATCTCGCGATTCCATTTTTCGATAAAGTATCAACGGTGCCAGCCGATTACGAGAAATGATGTTGATAAGCCGCGAGGCATCGTGGGTAAACGTGACCGGCGTACGTTTCTCACGAGAAAGCGACAAGGTGTGTCGTCGCTGGTGACAAGAACCGTAAACTTTCGCGTAAAAATAACGCGTCTGCCGCGACAGGGTTGTGCAACAGTGTTATTTTTATATTTCCCGTATTTATAGACCCGCTATAGTGAATGAACGTCGCGCGTGTTCGACCTCTCTTATGGAGAATCGCGACGTCCTTACGTCTGAACGCTGTAGAACAAACTTGGAACACTTTTACGGTACTCTACACGAAAATCCACAAACACTTTCGTCCTCTTTGCAAGCATCGACCAGCATTTCTAATTTCTCTTTGATCATAATAGTGCAACAGATAATTCACATCCCCAACAATTCTACCAAATTTTACATTCAACCGTTTTCTACCGCGCAAATATTAGAGGTCGTCTCATAAGTTTGCGCCGCGAATATGTTTATACTATTTGCGACATGTTTCATTGATTTCGCAAAAGAAATATTTTTTTACCTCGAAAATCAAGAATCATCCCAGAATCATCTGTCCACAGATATTTAACGCCAGAACTGCCATACCAATCGAAACGACTTTCTCATATTTTCTTTTACAGTTTCTGATATTGTAAAAATGTTTCTACGTGAAACTTTTAGACAAACTTCTTCAGCCAAGCATATATTCGAATAAAAATCGTACGAAGTTCGAGGCAATTCGATCTTGGCATTGCTATAAAACAATATACATCGAACATAGTCCAGCGTTAAACAAAAAGATAGGAACGACAAACGAGACGAACCAATAAATTCCACGGATTAGCGACACTGCATAGATTTGGTTAGATCGTCTTCCGCGTAACCCTTGGCGCAGGAAAAGACCAATTCTAAGTACATATGTATGTAGTACTCGGAACAGTAAAGCAACGTCGCGACTCTGAATATCTGAATAGGGATCCAGGTTCGTTACGAAAGGTGCAACGACCACTGCAATCGGTGCTCACTAGATGGAAATGTAACATCGCCCGGTAGTAATAACGCTGGAATCAACTAATCAGCACTGGTCGTGGCGCCTACGAGATCACCGACACACAGAACTTATCCAGCTGGTAGAGCAGCATTCCACGGTTCGGAATGACCATACTCATTCCTCCGTGGTCTCCTGCGAGCACTGAAAGGATCCTACGCGAAGGTGCACCGCCTCGTTCCCGGCCGTATACCGTATACCTTTCTGCCTACCTTTCTGTCTCCACGTTTCTGCGCGCGTTTCTGTGCACGCTTCTGCGTAGGTGTGCATGTGCGCGCAAGTACATGCGAACGTGAAAGGCGTAACAGGAAACCATTTCGTTCACCTGTTCCAGCCGATGCCGATCCCGATGCCGATGCCAATGTCGGTGCGCGACGCCGAAAATCAGACTACACGGAACCTTGAATCGACCTTCTCCCTCGCGTTCAACATTAAAGGCCGAAGGCCTCCGCTGCCCGCGTTTCTCGATCCCGGCACCTCCTTCTTCGTCTTCTCCTTTCTACCCTCCTTCGTCTTTTACCTCCTTTTTTCGCGGTAGACGCCCGTTTTTCTTCATTGGATCGCGCGATGTCGTAAGTCGCGAGTAAGTCGAGGATTTGCGCCTCTCTGCGCCCAGCCTTTCGAACAACGTGTCCGGTACAAGGGACACCCGCGGCTCTTAACGTTAGATATTTATTTTCAATGTTTTCACTCTTCCACACGCTGCTAAATCGAAGCCCGCAGTCACGAGTTTCAGCTGGTCTATGACTTTTGCTTTTCCTACGAATTCGGAGCTGTTTAGAGACGGATAACACACGATAGTCTGAATTGTCTTAAATCGTCCATTATTTGGAAGTACTTGTACCGTTAACTGTTGCGAATGATCGAAATAAATTTCTGTCAACGATATCCGTGACTTTAAAATAATTTACGTATACCATCATGATATTCTTTATGTATTGATTAAATAAAGAAATACGTTTTTATCGAACTTCTGTTCCCTACGATTAACGTCAGAACTTTTTATTTTGCACAAAAGATCCGCAGTCGCATCGATATTTTTTAATCGTTTTCTTCATCGATTTTGTTACCCTTTATATTTCATGTTGATTTCGATGATAATCAGTTCTTTATGAAGGGGATTTTCATCGCAGAGAACTTTACAATAATTGTTATTTTTGATTCCAACTAGACTGTCAGTCGCTGATGTCCCCGGGTAAAAGATGAATTGCCAGTGCCTCCTATTTAACACTAAACCTACTGCGGTCGAAACGATCGGTTTTTAATTTGACGATACTATGAACTTGAGAAACTTCTTCGTGGAAAATAATTGAACAAATAATTGGAAATATAGAAATGATCGAGCAAGTTCACTGTTAAGAGTCACCGGTCACCATTAATGCTCGGTAGGTTTAGTGTTAAAATGAATTGCGATTTTCCCGGGATAATAGAGCTTGAAAGTCCTCGCCAGTAAAAAGCGAACTACGAGTTCCAGCTCGAGCCGTTTCACGGAATTTACTGCGACAAAGACTCGCGCGAATGAAAATAATTAGTTGCGTGCCGTGGCAAGCGATTGTTGGTGGAGAGTTGTTGCCGGACAGCTGGTTGACGGGGTTTCGTGAAACTTTCTGTTCGCAGGTGAAAGGAATTTCTCGATTTAGGCTAGGATGTCACATCACAGCGACGATAACATGCTGATAGCAACCTCGGACTCCTTTTGGGAGCCGGGCAACTACAAACGGACTACGAAAAGGATCGAGGACGGACACAAACTCTGCGACAGCTTGATAGCACTCGTGCAAGAGAGGGCGGAGATCGAGAAGAGCTACGCGAAAGCCCTGAAGAATTGGTCGAAGAATTGGAACGATAAGATCGAGAAAGGCCCGGAATATGGAACCACCGAGGCGGCGTGGAAAGGCGTTCTCGTCGAGTCCGACAGGTTATGCGATCTTCATCTCAGGGTCAAGGAGAGTCTCTGCAACGACATCATCCAGCAAGTAAAAACGTGGCAGAAAGACAATTACCATAAGGTACGCACGCACTTCCGTGAAATCCTCCTGATACGATCGGCCCAACGAAAATTCACTTTTTCACTTTCAAAATAAAATACACGAAAACACGAGCCTGTAGCGGTAACCTGTGGTTCCTGTTCTTCGAGGCTTCAAACTTTGAGGCTTTCGTCTCGCTCGTCCAGCGAGCTGCTGATTTTCAAATATTTACGAATTCTGGACAGTACAGCATTATCGATTATCCAAATTCAAAATTGATAATTAATTTCTTTTTATTTTCGATAAATTATTATTATTATATATATATATATATATATATATATATAATAATAATAATAATATATAATATAAAATATATATATATATATATATATATATATATATATATATATATATATATATATATATATATATATATATATATATATATATATATATATATATATATATATATATATATATATATATATATATATATATATATATATATATATATATATATATATATATATATATATATATATATATATATATATATATATATATATATATATATATATATATATATATATATATATATATATATATATATATATATATATATATATATATATATATATATATATATATATATATATATATATATATATATATATATATATATATATATATATATATATATATATATATATATATATATATATATATATATATATATATATATATATATATATATATATATATATATATATATATATATATATATATATATATATATATATATATATATATATATATATATATATATATATATATATATATATATATATATATATATATATATATATATATATATATATATATATATATATATATATATATATATATATATATATATATATATATATATATATATATATATATATATATATATATATATATATATATATATATATATATATATATATATATATATATATATATATATATATATATATATATATATATATATATATATATATATATATATATATATATATATATATATATATATATATATATATATATATATATATATATATATATATATATATATATATATATATATATTTTATATTATATATTATTATTATTATTACTACTACATTATTATACAATATTACATAATACATTATTAATACAATAATATAACATGACTGAGATTTAATCGAGATCCTTCCATAGTTTTATCATTATTACTTCGAACAATCATAAATTTAAATGCTAAACATCGAGGAAAATCCAGTTCGGTTAATCGAGGTTCTATTACAAATTGTTATGTCATTGTCTAAAGTGGGGCCAGTGTCCGAGTAGACTGCGGATTTTATGGAATCCAATAATTTTCTTCGCGAATTGTAAGAAACAGAAATTGAATAAAAATTTATCTCTTCTTTTAATAATATCAATAGATTACGGTGAATGTAAGAATATTTTTAAATTCTTTTAACGTATTTATTGTTTGACATTTAAACCAGTCAATGTTATCATAACTGCATCAAATCCGCAGTCTACTCGAAAGCATTTGCAATAAAACGAAGAAAGATTTTTCATTCATGATTCAGTTCCGACGACGAGGACTGTTTTCCCGAACGATGTTTCAATGATGCATGATCGCTAAACTTGTACGGCTGTGATTCGGTTCTAGTCGATGATAACCCTGAAGGAGCGCAAGGAGATGGAGGACGCGTTCAAGAAGGCGCAGAAGCCTTGGGTGAAGCTTCTGCAGAAGGTCGAGAAGGCGAAGTCGGAATACCACAACAGCTGTAAAACCGAGCGGACCGCCGCGAACATGGAGAGAAACGCCTCCGCGGACAGTTCGCTTTCGCCGGACCAGGTAAACCAACGATTGCAACCTTCCATTGCCCGGAATTATATATTATAGTAATAAACGATTACGTCATTGCGCATCGCTCGGTCATACGTTATCGACGATTGCCGCAATCCATGCGTTGCGTATCCGATTGCGAGTCACGGGCGTCGTCACAGACGTCGCACAGTGGGCCGAATCGCGATTCTAGCAAATATAAAAGATTCAATTCTTCATGATTGTTTTGTTCCTTAACTTATTTCTTACTCAAGATCCTAAATCCCCGCGTATGTCTAAACGAAGTTCTGTACGACAGAAGAAATTTGTTAAATAGCCCAATAGTAGGACTTCTTAGAAAATTAAAGTCCATTAATAGGATTATCTTCCTGTTACATAAATAAGTATGATCTTTTATTTGCTAGAATCGCGGTTGGGCCCACCGTGCGTTGCCATTGGTGTCGCTTCGGTGTCGCTTCGGGAAGGATTTCTGTTCTATGTGCCCGATATATTGGCCGTTCGAAATGTACTGTTGCGATCTGTAATCGGAACTGCTATAATTTGTTACTAGGATTCGAGAACGATTCCTTTTCCTGTTACAAGAAATACTACTCGATTGAATACAGATTATTTCGATCGAAAATTTTCGTATCGGGTTAACTGAACATATACAAGGTGTCCCGAACGTCACTCGCAATCGGGAAAATGCGGAGTTTCCGGCTTCCTTCCTCCTCCTTTGCAGGAGGATTTCCGCGGCTTCGTTTACGAGTTATTAACGAAAAACAGTGACCAATGAGAGGCGAGCTAGGCTGGAGCAAGGCGATCGAGCCAATGAGCGGACGAAGCTCGATTCCGCTCATTGGCTCGGCCGTCTCGTACCAGCTGACCTTATTTCTCTATTGCGAGTGACTCTTGGAACACCCTGTATACCCTCTACATCGAAAGCACGTGGATACATGGATACATGGAACGCGAATGCAAACGGTCTTGGCGATATTCAGAGGCAAACAGAATGAACGAACTCCAAATTAATAAGCAAGGTTATAAATTTGATTCAGAGTCGAGAAAATGTTTCGAATGATTATTCAAGGTTGCGCAACAATCCGAGCCGATTCCTGTGTGCAGTTCCCGGTAAAAAAATTATTCGAGAATCCGTTATCTGAATAGTTTATTTATGCAAAGTCCTCCTCGGTAACGACCAAAACTAGGAAATAAATATCGTACGCCCTATATCATTATGCTAAAGTAAATCCAATAGCAATTTAACCCACCTGCAAAATTTTCCTACGATAATTAACAATATTGTATCGTTACCATAAACAGCAACGCAATTATCGGAAATTTCGTGAAAATCCTTTTCGAAGTATCGCCATTATTGGAGTATCGCGCACGCAAACACGCGTAAACGGAGTACATACGGGTACATAAATATGTGTCACGTGCACACGCGCGCACGCGCATACTATACATGTGACGGTGTGCATCTAATCTCGAACTACGTATTCGCGGCTCGACGAGACGAGTAGATACAGTTGTTCTTTAGCAAGTATTATTTGCAGATGGCCCGAGGCTCTGAAAACGTATGTTAACAAATCTCCTGTATTATCGTAACGAACGTCTGCATGCCGTGTTGTCTACTGTCTTGCGTCCCCTGATATTTATCGGTATCGCTACATATAATCGTCCGTCTCACGAACCGTTCTCTAGTCTCTCCCGACTGTCTCGATGAATATTTATTTCTGCATGCGTCCACACGAACTTATTTAACCGTTCCTTCAATATTTACCGATTGCGAAAGGATGCCAAACTGTTCTTGCCAGTTTCGTCCTATCTTTGTACAGTTTGCACAAAGTTCAACAGTTTCGTTAATATTTTACTCGCAGGCTCTTGTCAATGCTACGATCATTCGACTAAATTTGTCAAGTACGTTTCAAATGCGAATCGACTGCGGGCTTTATGCGTTCGTAATCAAATTTTGTCGAACCGTTTTCAATTGGTTGAAATTATTAAGAGAGGCATGCGTTTGCCGTAACTTCGGAATAAAAACTTTGATTTTACGTAAAGATCCGCAGTCCAGTCACGAGCTGAACCAGTTTGCTGCACCATATTGTCGTTGCACATTTCTCTTCTCCATGATCGTTTTTGCATCGAAGAGAGTAGGGTAAACACATTTGACCGAGTCACACACAGCGAACTGAAATAAATAATTGTTGCACAAGTTGCACCGTGGACATTAAATCGCCGGAGGAGAGGCGATCTTCTGAAAAATGGCTACCAACGTTTTTAGATGACTGTGTGTGGATGTGATGCATGGAGACTCAGAATACGAAAATGCCTTAGGAACTCTAAAATAGGAGACGTTCAGCTTGTATGTATAACGACATTGCATGCGGCATGCTTATCGATTAACCGTCTTTTCTTAATTTCTCGTTACAGAAAGCTCTATTGGTAAGCAAACTAATTCTTTACTATGAACCGTTCGTGCAACCATCGAACTCCGAAAGCTAATCGAACCGCTAAACTTTCCCGATAATCCAGCAAATCGCTCGTCGATAAATCCAATCTTTTCTAATATTCCCACTGCTCGATGATTGCTCGTTCCTTGTACGTAAAGGCGATCAACTTTTAACGCTTTATCTGCACAAGTAGCCGTAGTCGTTTTATCACTTTATCAGATTCATGTAATCGCACCGTTTAATTGTCTTTTGCAAACAAAATTACTCGTTAACTAGTTGCACTAGTTCGCAAGCAAATGTTCAAGAATTTCAATTTCTATTCCTTCAGTATTTCGAAGAACAGCTTAGTCCTAGATCGATTTACATACTTCGTTTTAACCAGTGGACAGAGAGGGTGACACGTGCAATCAAAAAACAAGCAGACTCGAGATAGAATAACAATTTCATTTTATTGCGAGCCTTTTTCAACGACGCATCGGAAAACTTGTCTGTCCACGTTCCGACCTTTTCACGCAGGAATCATCGTAAATTTGTAAATACAAATACAAACCGGCGTGTAATCGCACTTTTCACTGCACTCGCAAATGTAATCGTTAATTTTCGTTCGATTTAGTGTCGGATGCTTTCCCCACCGCTGAATCTTTACTTTCGAAATGGTAATTTACTTTTTTCAATTTCCTTTTCGCGTCTAGTCACGTTTCTTTTTTCTATCTTTGTTGCGTTACTCATCCTGAAAAATCACGCTTTCTGTTTCGAAAGGTATTCTTTGCCGCCACAGTTGTACGCTAGGTAAGCTTGAGGGTAAAGAATTGGGATTGTCATGACGGTACGGTGATGAGACCATCGCGAAGTCGACAGTGTGCTTGTCACACGGTAGACGCGTGATCATTGTCGATCTCGATCTATCGAATTCATAGTGTCTACTATCGACGAGCCCGCCAATGTGGGTTTGTATAGCTCTTCCGAGCGAGCTCGAGCTTTCCAGAAACTGTAAGCTTGCTCGAGCTGTAGAAAAACTGTAAGTACGAATGACTCAAGAATGGTACCAGTGGCTCATTAAAGTGTTCGTACACCATTTAAAACACAATAACTTTTTCGAAACTGTATTAAATGACATGAATTTTTTTTTAATGTAGAGGGACTAGTCTACTACACAATCACTAAAATGCTTTTTTTAAATTTTTCTACTACTTGGAATGACAACAAAATGTAAAAACAAACTCGTTTTTTAACGCTTTTTATCTGAACCTATAACGAAAATTTTCGTTAATAAAATATATACAAGTTAAAAAGTTTTTTCTTTTTTTTTTCTTTGTCACTCCAAGTAATAGCAAGATTACAAAAACGCATTTTAGTCATTGTAGACCTCTATCGTCTAAAAAAAATTCAAGTCACTTTAGTCCAGTTTGAGAAAAGTTATTGCGTTTTGAAAGGTGTACGAACACTTTTGCGAGCTACTCGCAGTGATCACAAGATTCTATGGAAGCTCGGGTTATACGAAACTCAAGATCGCTCTGTGAACTTATGCCAAGATCCTTACCTTCGATGACACTCCCACGGACCGTCCGTGACTCCCGGTATTGATCGTGGTCTTTCTATTTAATCAACAGGTGAAGAAAATGCAGGACAGGGTGCAGAAAACAAAAGAGGAGGTGCAGAAGGCGAAAGAGAAGTACGAGGCGACGCTGCAGGAAATCAACCTGAACAACCCGAAGTACATGGAGGACATGACCGAGGTGTTCGACAAGTGTCAGGCAATGGAGGCGCAGCGGCTGCAGTTCTTCAAGGAGGTCCTGTTCGACCTTCACAAATGCCTAAATATATCCCAAGATCCGATGTAAGCGTGCAACGCTTTTATTAATCGTAATTGGCACACGTTCGATTCGTCGTTGATCCTGAAAGGATCAATTAAAGGACCAAACAAGACTATCTTTAGAACCAACTAGGGTCTCGTAGACCCTAACGAAGTCTGGCTTACTTAACGGATTGTAATTGAAATTCATTTTCAAGTTCGTTGAAAGAATCGTGCCAGTTGTATGCGAATCGTTCACTGGCTGGATCGGTTAACTTTTGCTTTTTTCATTCTCTTTTTCAATTTTATCGTTAAAGATTTTTTTATTTAACACAAATTTTCTTATTATCAGACTTCACGTCATGAAATAACAAACATTTTTGTCGATGCAAAAATTGCAATAATGATAACAATATTATTCCAAGAATATACAATCTGATGCACTTTAAATGTCGTCAGAGCTACGCCTCTGACAATAATATCAATTTGATTACACTTTCTACCGGAAAAGAAAATAACTTTACTAGACTGAAATCGACGTTTCTACGAAAACATTCCAGAGCAAGTATCGTGGTTTTAATATCCGGGGGGGGGGGGGGGGGA